TCTCTTTGGAGATCACTCGAGGATTGAGTACAGATTGATTCTGATAAATACTCACTTTGCTCTCCATGATGGTTTCTGTGTTGATTTTCTTGTTCTTCTTCTTTGATAATTTCTTCAATTGTGATGATGTTGATGAAGACATTGTTAAGATTGCTGGAAGTTTTAGGGTTTAGTGAAAAGGAGGGGGATTTCAGAATTTTGGAGAAAAAGAAGAAAACACTAAATTGATAAGTTTTATAGAGTGAGTGTAAACACCCACTAAAGGGACTAGGAGTACATGGAAGTCGTTGATTGGATTCAGAGGGAGGTGGCGTAAGATCTAGTGTTAGTAATAAGTGTGATTAATAGTAATCATTATTTTTAAACCGCACCATGCTGTGGTAACTGGTCCAAGACGGTTAGGTGCTCAAAAAAGCGTCTTGATTGACGTGGGTAAAGTCATGCACAGTAAATGTCATGATTCTTAAAAAGACCTATCAAAATCTTGTGAATCTATTTAAACTAAGTATTTCTCAAAAGGGTTCGAAATACATATTTTAAAGGGGCATTTTGTTGGTTGAAGATTTTGATATTATGATTCGAAATAAAATGATTGGGCTTTGTTTGAATAAAGCAAGTTTGATGATTTAGAATGGAAGATAATGTTTGTTTCAAATGGAAATATTAAAGTTCAAGGTTTCAAATGGTAGTTGTGGAGTGTAAGTCTAAAGCCTTGTTCGAAATACTGACGAGACTATATTTGTGAGGGTTTGTTTTCGAAACAAATTCGAAAGGAAGGTACCAAGGCGTTTGAAATTCAAACGTGAGCGGGATATTGGAAATTCAAAATACATAAGCATTGGGACGTTCGAGGACGCGTGGAGGCCAGAGGGAAGTAATGCTCTGCATGCTTCAAACGTGGCAGATTCTGATAGCAAGACCATTATGGTCGAAGTAGTATAAATAGAGGTCTTAGTATTAGGATTTCGGGTGTCATATATGTTGTACAAATCCAATAAACATTCAAAATACCGCATGGATAGGGAAACAAATGCTCAAAAGATGTATGTATGATAACACCAACATTTACAATTCAATGAAAACTCTTTACATTTTCCAGTTTTATCTTTCATTTCCGTTTCATTTGTGCTTCCAACATTTTACGTTTCTTGCCTTTACATTAAAGCCTTTACATTCGAAGTCATTTATTCCTTTCTGCATTTAAATATTTTTCTTATGTTCGAACCCTCTAAACATTTAGTAACTTTTGCATCCACTCATTTAATCCTGCCATTTACCCAATTTTAAGTCTTTAAACTTTTTTCATGAACATTCCTAATACCATATAGAAGTTATCCTTCGAACCATTCAGTATAGTAATCGAAGTGGATTGGATATCTTAGAAACAATTCTAATTTGAAGTCCTGAATATGAATACCAGTTTTACAATTAGACTTAACTAAACAACTATGTTCCATAGGATCAATCTAGTCGATCCTGCAAGTTACCAGAGAAATTGAATAACAGTCATTAAGTTTATTCGATAGTTTGGAAGACTAGCGGTTGTTCACCAGAAATCACTGTGAACAATAACATTCTTTCCATTTTGAGAAGATCTTTGTCTTGGAATAATTCCGTTGGTAATTAATCTGCCTTGAATGCAGTAACATTGACACTTCAGAATGTTCTGCTTGATGACAATCTGAGCGTTCTTGGCTTTAGCTTATTCTGGCGCTTCTGAGTGCTGATGACATAGTTAGGATCTTGATCAGAGTCAGAGTATGTTGAGCGCAAATCTTGTTCATCAGGCTTCAGCGTAGCACATGTACTGATCTTCTGATTCAGACAAATCTTCTGATGCTGATGTTGATACTGATGTTCTGATGCTGATTCCATCAGAGTTTCCTGTAAATACATAACATAATTTTTAGGTAGCATTTATGTCATATATAAAACTCATAATTCATTTAATCTTGTATTTTGTTATCATCAAAACTCTAACTGAGGGTTGTAGAATCAAACTATGTTCTAACAGAACCAGCATTCCAAAAACAGTCAGTTCTTCCCACCGTATCACACTAAGCATTGTCAAATGATCAATGTGGAGATTCAAAACTAAAATACTTACACCCCCTCTGTAAATCGTAACCCCATTGTTCAACATTACAAATTCACCTCCATGGTGGAATACACCACTGAACAGTTGATTATTCTGAAATCATTTGAGAAAACATGAAAAAACTAACATTTAACTGTATGTATGAGTAAACGAACAAGCAACTGAAAAAACTTACCTTATCAGCATCAACAGAAGCGCCTTCTTCGTCGTGCTTCTTTGGTTGTCTTGAATGCTTCGCGTTCTTCGACTGCTGCTTCTTCTTCTTCGATGCATGTTTCTTCCCCATTATGAGCTTGCTAACTTTGTCTGATAGTGAATCCTAGCTTTTCAAGAGGTGAATTAATATTCGAAAGATGTTATAAGTAATAGACACAAATAATCCAAGGGGGCATTTAATTACCCATTCAACAAACAATCAAAAGCCACGTCTGCAACACAAATGGAATCTTGAGCTATGGAGTTTTTTGTTGTGGAATCTATATTTGTTAAGGGGTGAAAATATATTTTTTTAAAATGGGTAAATCAAAACTCACTATTATTGGAGAGGATAAAGTGCATTTAACCCTAAAATCAAATGTGCTGTCTATTTTAGTAAATAATAATATTTAAAAAGATCAATTATTATGTATGGCCAGTGTAAAAAATTTAATGCATCACAATTATTCATAATTATTACTCCCTCCGTTTCTTTTTAAGTGCCATTTTAGCATAAAACTCTTTAACAAAGATAGTGGATTATTAGAGTTATTTTTCCTATTATACCCTCATTTATTTTCTTTTTCCAAATAAATTCAATCATACACCATCTCTCTTTTTCCAATAACTAATTGAGAAAATAATTAATTTTATGGAAAATGTGAAGTGGAGTTATTGAGAAAGTAGGGATATAATTGACAAATGATAACATTAAACTATAAAAGCGACACTTAAATAGAAACACAAAAATTCTTCTAAAACGACACTTAAAAAGGAACAAAGAGAATAATTTATATATAATTAAAATAAAAATCAAATATGATTTAAAATCCAACGGTATCACAATATTGATATATTTCAATCAAATTCATATTTAAAACAAAAACAAATAACACGAAAATAAATGAAGAGTTTTTTTTTAATAAATCATTTATAACTAGTAAGATTTGAACTTAGGACATTGAGATGAACACATTCTCAAGACCTAAATATTTCACCACTATATCTTACACACGCACACAAAATAGCTAAAGAGTTAAATGATACTTCCTGATATAATCAAAATAGAATTATTCAATTTATTAATATTTTTTAATAAATAAAACAAATCTATTTAACATTAATGTGAGATGAATATGTAAAAGATATAATAGGTAATAAAAGATTTAAAATCAGAATAAAAAACCACCTCAAAAAATTCGATTATATATAACCCATAAATAAATAAAGTTAATGATACTCTACAGTACAAGTTCCGCCGTTAAATTAAAATCAAAATAATTTCCGCCTCTGCTTCACGGCCATTGCCTCTGCTCTGCTCTGCCTGATGCTTCGCCTTCCATCATCACGTTGAGGTTCGTTTCTCCATAACCTAACTCTCACGTCGCTCAATTTTCCTAACCCTACACCCAATTATTCGATTCGATTCTGCTTCATTGATTGATTCTGATGATTTTTTTGTTCCTTTCTCGAGATAGTGGAAAATGACATTAGGATTGAATCAACGTGTTTCATAGCTTTATTTGCATATGGATTTATTTATAAAATTATGTGTTCGTATGAATTTTCATCAATTTTGTGTTTTCTTTGATTTTCCCCTTTTGGAATTAACCTATGATCTATATTTATAGTCACGTGTGCAAATTTGGAACCTAATACAGGTTGTGATATTAAGAAGTTGAAAAAAATTAAACTCAATAGATAGTTTGAAGTCGCTGGTTTCCATGTTGAGGGAGGGGTTTTGAGATTTCTCTCTTGTTTAGATATCTGGTAGTTATTATTACTGTTATAAGGTAGTGAATATAGTGATACAAATGAATTTGCTTCTAGGTTTTTATACTGATTTTATGAATTGTACATTGTTATAGCATCTATGCATTCTCTTGGAACTTGTTTTTCACGTTATTTGGTTTATTACATTTATCATGCCTTCCTTTTTCGATGAGATAGGATTAGAAATAAAAACGTTAGAAAGAAAGTTGGAATAGCACCTATAGAAGACAAGATAGTGGAAGCTAGATTTAGGTGGTTGGGTATTTAGAGAGAAAGTATGTGGATTTTGTAGTAAGGATAGTAGATTAGATGGAGGGTAGTTAGACCGTTAGAGGTAGCGAAATACCTAGAAAAACTATTAAGAAAGATCTCGAGATTAATGAGCTGGATAAAAGTATGATATTTAAGATGGTGGAGAATCCACTTAGATGGTTTAGGCATGTAGAGAGAAGACTTGTAGATTCTATGGTAAGGAGAGTAGATCAGATGGAGAGAAGTCAAACAATTAGAGGGAGAGGAAGACCTAGAAAGACCATAAGAGAAGTTATTAAGAAAGATCTCGAGATTAACGATTGGGATAGAAGCATGGTTATGGATAGAACATTATGGCGCAAGTTGATCCATGTAGCCAACCCTAGTTAGTGGAATAAGGTTTGGTTATTGTTGTTGTATAGAAGTATTGTATTTGATAGAATATTATGGCGTTGCTTGATCCATGTGACCGAGCCCACTTAGTGGGATCAGGTCTGGTTGTTGTTCTATCATGCTTTCTTTGTGATGAAGCATGTACATCTCTGTGACATAATATTGTAGTAGTGCTTTATTAGCCGGTTTAATCTCTAATTTATAATTGATCGTATTTTTGTATGGCGTGCAGGCTTTTTCCCTCCTTTGAATTCTGCAGCTCTGAGTAAAGTTCACCGGGCTGTAGAGAATGGCAGAAACTATGTCTAGTTTCTGGGGTCCAGTTACATCCACCAAAGAGTGCTGTGAAGAAAATTATATACATTCGTCTTACATTGCAGAACTTTATAACACTATATCCAACATTCCGACAATCATTTTGGCTCTGATTGGTCTTATAAATGCTCTAAGACAGCGATTTGAGAAAAGGTTCAGTGTTCTTCATTTATCAAACATGACACTTGCCATTGGGAGCATGTTGTACCATGCCACACTGCAACGTGTGTAAGTATCAGTCTCCATCTTTTTCTGTGGAAATCTATGTTTTCTTTTTTGATTCATTGCAATTTATTTACTGTTAGTTTGTATTATACAGGCTTAGGTTGGCATTTTATAAAATGTTTATTTCATAACTGAAAAATTTAGACTTAAGGTGTTTGCAAGAGATATATCACTGTACTCTAGCTACATGTTGTCGTGAGGAAATATTGAATCATAAGTATGGAATGATTTTTTTATCATCATTAATAATTTAATTTGGGCATACAAACATCTTTTCATGTCCATATGGTTCAATTGATATTCATATTGGCTAACAATTTGATCTGGTTACTATAACCTCACAAAGATCACAATTTTATGGGCAACATGGGGCAATCAAAATCGTGTAATGGCAGAATCCAGGAAATGGCTGGACCCATTGCGGTTTTGTTGTAGGCATCACCTTGCATATTTGTAAGGTGCTGGCTGATTCCACAGCTTTAAGAACGAAGTAGTGAACTGACAATGCCAGAGAATGGGGAGAAACATAACTTCTACAAAAAGAGAGGAGCAAAGAGCAATAGGAATGACATAGGAGAGAAAAAACAATGGAATATATAACAAACACAAATAATTAGCGAGAACAGAGACAGATAAGGGACCAATAGACAGAGAGTATTTAAGAGAACCAAAGTTCTGGCTTCAAAGGAGAGGAGAGGGGGGGAGGTGCAGATGCAGATTGGGGTCTGTTCTGGTTTAGAAGTTCAGGTTTAGAGATGGATCATTTGTTAGAGATGTTGGTTGGGAAATGTCACTCAAACGCCGGAGATGGTGGGTATGGGCGGATCTTTAAATTTTGACTAGTGGGGGCACCATATATAAATCTGTAGTATTAATTGTAGCATTTAATTTTTAGAATATTCATATACATCATAATTATTTTTATTATTTCTCATTTTCAATATTAATAAAAATATATATATTTTTATATGTTGAATTACCAAATCATTTAATCATTTTTGTTGTTTTGTATGTGTTGCTACCGGATCTTGTAAATAAATACTAGCATTATTTATAATTAAAACAAAATACTTAATCATTAAAAAAGTTAAATATGTCTCTTTTTTATATAATAAAAACATAGTTTGCATAAAATCTTACTTTAATGCTTTGCTAAACAATATCCTTAGAATATATATTAATTAGTATTTGCCATTTGCCTTCTTTAAATTTGTTATCGTGGGTGCTTCTGAAATTTAAAATGCAAAAGAGGTTAAAGTACAATAGAGGCAAAACAAATGATACATGTATCATGAATGTGCTATCATGTATGTGCTATATGTTGGGCTCTGGATAGAGTAGTTTGTATTGGGTGATGGGTGCGGGCCATTGGTCAAAATTTCAAGCATATTCTTCTTTTATCAAAACTATGTACAAGTATATGCCCCCACTATCCCCAAGGTACATCGTCCATATGGAGTTCATTCAGTTTGCGAACATTGTTCAAGTGTGATAGTGGTTGCAAGCTGCAAGCTCTAGGGCAGTGATCAATATCCGCCTTGGCAGTGCTATGACGGATATACATGGCGGTTTGGACTCTCCGCAATGGTAAATATTGGCCGGATATTGTGGGTTTTCTGCCATAATCCGCTACAACGGCACCACAAAGCGGCCGGTATGGCTGGATTTTGGCTCTCCGCCATCGACACCACTGCTCTAGAGATTTCATATATTCCTTTTAGAATATAACAATTTTTTCTTCTTTCAAAGTAACAACTGCTAGTTGCTATTTCTGCCATGGACCATTGTGACAGATGCACCTTCTGTTTGCCACCACACAAAACTCCCAATGTTGGTGGCTTGATCAAATTCCAGCACATAAATATCAGGAGCACCTAATACATCTTCCTGTCTCTCTTTTTTTATTTATTTGTTGATTTTGAAGAAATGTACCATGATGTATTAGAACTGTTGGAATACAAATCATACCTTTCAATGATTTACAGGGCACAACATAGACTACAATACATTGTATACAACTACTATAAAACCCATCTTAAATAAAAAAAGAAAGGTGAGCACGCCGACATTATAAAATGTTATAACTTATCTTTATTAGTATAAAAGTTCAAAGAACAAAGCGATATGTAAAATACAGTTTGGAGTTTCTAAGTGTTTGAGAAGTGTCTGAGAAATGGACATTTACATTATATTATATTTTCAAGTGTCCATGGTTGGTTGTTTGTAAGCATCCCTTTTAACTTGTAGCGGGGTAAAAGAGAAAGTGGAGTACTGAGACATAAATGGAATTTGTATTTGAGTCTAGTCATTATTATATCAAAAGCCACTCATGCATTTAAATTAGGTGGCTAATTTTTTAATTTTCTCTCTAATTTTTCTCTCATACTTGCATGTTTCCTTATGTGGATGATTTTTTACCTTTTAACCTTTGTCGCTTGGAGAAATATATTCTTTCTAATGTGGTTTTGCACTTCCAACACCGAGAATGAAGTTGTGGCTACTCACAAGTTATAATTATGTTCAAGTTTTGAACCAGTTTGGTACCATTGATCTAGTTGCCTTTGCTAAGATTGTAAGCTTGCTCTATAGGCTAAGAGTGCTAAATTCTGGGACAAAAGGATGAATATATAATTTCTTAATTTCTTTCAGATACAAAATGGGTTTGAAGTTTATATGGTAGGTTATGGGGCGTCCAAGTCCTACATCGGGTAATATAGGATGCTTGGTGGTGTATTTAAGCAGCTTGGTTCTTCATTTAATAGCTAGCTTTTAAGGTAGGATTCCCAAATTACTTGGATACTTATCAATTGGTATCAGAGTCGGTTATCACTGGCTCAGATAAGAAAGGGCTGTCTACCGAGGGGTTGACCTTGTAAAATGTTGGAGATTACTGCCACTGAGACATCGACATTCATTGGCGGTGCTATGATAGTACTTGGGTATCATGTGATGACCAAGTCTGACATCCAGTATTATGTGATGGTAGACGGAGTGGAGTGTATATGTTTTTTGGTTCTTTCCCCTTGATAGCTAACTTTTATGGGAGGGTTCTCCAATTGCTTGGAGTCTTATTATTACAACGGGATCTAAATTGGTTTTTTGAGCCCCCACTTGGTGATAAATCAAAGGAGTGTACATATACTAAATTATTTCACATTGTCATTAAAGTGCAGCGCAGTCTCTGACTATTCAAATTGGTTCTTAAATTTACAAAACTCAATCATGTAAGTCGTTATTTGGGACTAGAGTGATAAGTAAACAAGAAGGATTAACACGGTATGAATTTATAAGTTAGGTGATAACTTGTACACTTGAATAAACTATGTAACTAGATGGATAATACTTACAGGGGCTACCAGTGTGTTTGGTTTTGTGTTTAAAATCCCCAAACCATAATTTGGGCAAAAGCTCCAAGATTTTACTGTGATTTGATGCTTAGGCTTTTTGAACAGAAAATAAAAAACACACTGATTTGCCTGTATAATCACCGAGAGCAATCATAGTATTACCTTTTCTTATGTTGAATAAGCAGAGTTATTAATCCCGGAAAGCGAAACGGAGCGGCCGACCCCCGAGAATGGGAATAGCGTTATCCCGGATAGCGGGATAACTTTTTGTATACTAATAATTATATAATAATTTATAAAACACATGTAATGTAATACTAAATTAATTTCACAACACTAATAAAATATTTATAAAATCTAATGCCAAACAAAGAATAATAATTATTATTAATGTTGCCTTTAAGTTTTATTATTAATGTTATTATTTTTATTAATAAAACATTTAATAAAACTCAACTAGTCTTTAAGTTTTCAAGTAGGAGTAATTTTTTAGAGTCAAATCCAATTTGACAATTATTTTTATTACTTATAGCTGTGGTCATTAATTTTCCAGCTGTATGTTAAGTATAATTTTTATATTAAATTACTTTACAACGGTTGTTGATAAGATTGAACAAGTTGCTTTTTCACTTTTGAACTCTTTTTATCGATAAAACAAATCTCCTTCATTTTCACTGTTCTTCTACATCTTTTCTTTTGTAATTCCAGAAAAAAAAGTGAAAAAAAAATGAAAATCGTTTTGATCCGCTTGGGAAGAACCCGCGACCCGGTTTCGCGGGCATAGCGCCCGCTAAATAATCTCCGCGACTGTACCCAATGAATCGCGCAGGTGGGTGCCGCACCGCGATAGCGGCCGTGATTCACAACTCTGAATAAGTACTACTATTGTGCTAGGTTTATCTTCCTAATAAAATTGGGTACTTTGAATTGTTTAGTCTGTTTATGAATTATTTAATATTTTTATTTTGGATGACTATTCGTTAATCAGATGATGCTTTTAATTTTTAGGCAACAACAAGGGGATGAAACTCCTATGGTATGGGAGGTGCTTCTGTACATGTACATCCTCTACTCTCCAGATTGGCACTATCCCAGTACAATGCCCATCTTCCTATTTTTGTATGGTGCTGGTTTTGCAATCGCCCATTCAGTGTTCCATTTTGGAGTCGGCTTCAAAGTGCATTATATAGTTCTGTGTCTGCTGTGTACTCCAAGAATGTACAAGTATTACATTCACACTCAAGACGTGTTAGCCAAGCGGCTAGCTAAGCTATTTTTAGCCACTCTTATGTTAGGAAGTTTGTTTGGGTTTTGTGACCGTGTTCTCTGCAATGAGATATTGGGCTGGCCTGTTAACCCTCAGGGTCATGCTTTGTGGCATGTATTCATGGGTTTCAATTCCTACTTTGCAAACACATTCTTGATGTTTTGCCGTGCTCAACAGCGTGAGTGGTCTCCAAAAGTTGTTTATTTAATGGGTGTTTTACCTTATGTGAAGATTGAGAAACCAAAAAGCCAGTGACATATTTGGTAAAAGAAGGAAGCTTCTTTCTCATGATACATTCTAGCTATAGACAAGTTGTTGACAAAATTATTTAATGGATGTCTTTATTTTCTTTACTTCTTTTTCACCTTGTCGTTTTGATTGGCTTAAAAATGATGACGAATATTTGCATATTTTATTGTAGAAGTAGGATGTGTACCATATTTATCCTGGACTCAAAAATGGCAAAAGTAAATATAATTTTGCTACTGGTTTTTGTTGGGATCCTGGAATGTCTATAGACTAAAAACTATCCATGACAGGAAACCATATTTTTTATTATGCAGTTGTGTGTGGATTGGTAGATTGAGGAATAAGAATATGTCTGAATAAAATCTATATTTTAATATTAAATTAAGATGAATTTTAATTTATATTTTCTTAGTTAAATTTCTAAACCAAATAATTCTTGAAATTTTATATTGAAATTTCTAGAAAATATTTATTGCAGTTTCATTAGTGTTGGCCAATCCAGGATATCAAATGGCATGTTCCGGTTTCTTAGTAGGAATCTCAACGGGAAAGAAAATGTTTCCGCTCCTCCAAATTTATTCTCCACCCCTAATATCTCTCACAGGGGAGTATTTTCTCTTATTCCCATAGATTTTCATGGAGATTGATTATTAATTTTTTTTAATATTTTTCGATCAAAGTTATGATATTAATATTTTGTTATTTTTTATTTTTTTATAAAAAGAACATATTTTTTGCATATTTCTTAAAAAAAAAAACATATTGCATTAAAGAAAAACACATATTTTGCATTTTTCTTTTAAAAAGTATATATTGCATCAAAAAAAAAAACACTTGTTATTAATATTTTTTCTGTAAAAAATAATAAATATTAATAAAATTTGTTACTATCATACTTTTTTAATTTACTATCACAATACCATTGTTGTTAAGTATAAATGATTGATTATGTATGAGTATGGTAAATCTATCACTATTAATTTATTAATTGAATGAAAAACATATTATTAATAGAAATAGAAGTAAAATGAGTTTGAACATTAATTACAATAAACAAGAGAAAAAGAAAATGATTATTGTGATGATTATTTCCCTTCATCCTATTTTTTGCGGGGGAGAAAAAAATCCTTAACTTCAATACTTTAAATAGATAATTTTCACATAAATCTTTATTAATATATGTAAATTGGCATCTCTATCTCTTAATCTAAAGATGAAGGATAAACTAAAAATGAGTGGTTTTATAATCATCAATGAGAATGACAACCTAACAAATATAGAGTTTATATAAAAGAATTATCTAATATTATAATATTCAATCCAAAAATATTTACTTTTGATTTCTTAACCAATATTCTTCATAAAAGTTATTAATAAAACACTTATTTAAGAAATGAGGATTTAGAACTGAATTTCAAAAGTTGGAAACTAGAAATTGCATCAGATTAGCTTTTAAACTAATCAAACTATATATACTTTAATTATTAAAGATAAAAAAAAGAGTATGTAGATTTTGTGATAGGTCGGATTTTAAATCTTTATACCCAATCGTAAGGAGCCTTCCTAAATAAGGATATTTGTCACTATTCGTAAGTTCATATGTGTGTTTCTATATTTATTACTATTTTTAAATTTGTATATGTTTTTTTATGTTCGTCCCTATCCCAAACCCACGTATGACACATATATTGCATCTCCATAATTTTTTTTAAACATACCTTGAAGACGAAATATAAAAGAAATAAATTAAAAGTTAGGGCATTTCGATGGACCTCAAATTCAAAAGAATCGATCCATGCAAAAATAGGGATTAAAAGCAAAAGAAAAATAAGAAGAAAAATAGAAACAAGCTTGTAAACGAAAGTAGGTGATTACCATCTCAAGAATCTCATCAGTGCTTGAACCATTATATCTACCTCCATCGTCATGACTATCAAAATTCTCTAGCAAATTGAATGCATCGGTTGAGTTAATTGAATTTGGGAATGGAGAACATCAAAGGAGAAGGGTGAGTTAAATCAAATTGTGAGCATTATATCCTTTTGTTCATAAACTGTGAACTAAATCACGTTACAACCAAATTCTCTTGCATGAGCGTTGCGTTAGAATTACTTTTCAAAAGGAACAATTTTATTCGCAAATACTTAACATCGGGGAAATCTCAAGCGCAAATCACTGTGAGATTATGCCAATCAGGGGAAATCCTAATGATCTTATTGATCAGGGGCAAATCATTCCAAGAATTGGTCAACTTGGGTTACACCTCCAAACACCAGGTATGTCCCACATCGAATATGAATGAAGGAAATATTTGGTTTATAAGAGAGGTGACACTTATCCCTATTACCTTAAGATTTTGGGTGGATATGTGACATCAAGGTCTCTTGGAACCACAGACGTTTGACCCATTGACACTTCCAGGCCTTGCTCCCCGAACTTTCCCAACAAGTGGTATCAGAGCCTGGTTGGCTTAGTGGGGGAGTGGAAGTGGATCCTAGTGTGGGTCAAGGTTAGTCTTGTGGTTGACTCATACTTGTGGAGAAGATTGTTGGGTTTCAAGTGTGAAAGTTGTGCTAAAGTCCACATCGACTATGAATGGAAAAAATATTGGGTTTATAAGAGAGGTGACCCATACCCCTATTACCTTAAGGTTTTGGGTTGATATGTGACATCAAGTTCTTTTGGAACGATGAATATTTGACCCATTGAAACTTCTGGAATTTTCTCTCCGGACTCTCCAACAAGATACTGTGAGTGCATTTTCCCATTAGAGATGTTTTGTATGATGTCAGAACTAGAATAATTGAGCGTTTTTGTATATCGGACGGTATTCTCTAAATCCTGATGTGCTTCTTATCATTAGAAAGCATACGAACATTTTAGAAATGGTTTCAAAAAGCTTAGAAAATGTTTTACACATTAAAAATCAGATTTTATGTAAATCAGATTTTATGTAAAAATCAGGCCTATGAGTCGACACATACGACCTATGAGTCAACACATGCACTTGCGTTTTAAATCCTGTAGGCTTTGTAATGCATGTGTCAACACATGACAATCTTCAGGTCGACACAAGAAAATTACTTCTATGAGTCGACACTTGCCGATGATTTTTAAAGCATGTAGTCTCTATAATGCATGTGCTAACTCATGACCTATACATGCCCACCCATGCTTCGAAGGTGTCGATGCATGACTTACATTAGTCGACACATGTGATCCAAATTTCCAAATTTTATGATTTTTTTAAAACTTCTTGCATTCTATTTTTCCTCCACTTGCACACATATATACCTCATACATGCATTATTTTAAACTTAATGAAACCATAAACATACAAAGTAAATTCTCTTCATATTCAACCTCTCTTTCTATGCATACACTCAAACAAATTAAACACAATCATTCTTTGTTTGGGTTCCATTTAGATTTAGAGTTGATAACGTCCAATTTAGGCTTGTGTTCTGGTAAATTGGGTTGAGAATATTTGGGGATTTCATCGAGAAAAACCAGTTAGAGTTTGTCCACCAAGATCAAGGTGTTGATTTGAGGGGTTTTGTACAAGATTTTGCAATTCATATTCAACGAGTGAAAGGTTCAAAGAACGGTGGGTTCGGTCAAAGGAGTAACGGTAATTGAAGAATCGATTGAAAATCTCAGGTGACAACAATTCACAATTTGGATTCAGCCGAGTGAAACCTTAGAAGAATGGTGGGTTCAATCGAAGGAGTAATGGTAACCAGAGGATGGAATTGGTATTGTTGGGTGACTTGATCGATCTCAAGAAAAAGGGAAGAGGAAGAGTTAAAGGTGGAAGAAACACAAGAAAGGGGGGGGGGGGGGGGGGGGTTGAACTGGGTTCCCAGAAATAAAATCTTTTCCAAACCGAGCACTTGAAGTTAACACAAGAATAAAAATAAATAAACACAATTATTTTTGTCTTGGTTCACTGCTAACGAAGTTAATCTAGTCCACCCACCAAGGTGATTTTCCTTTCTCAAACAAGGACTTAACCCACTATAACCAAACTGATTACAGACAGAAACAAAGACTAACTATCAATATTCACTATCACAAAGACTAACTGTCAATGTATTCTTGAGAATCCTGACTAATGCCCTAGTCTCTCAAGGAACAATCAACTCAATGTTGAATACAAGTTTGTGTGCTTACAAGATTTCTTCTTGAAAGTATATTACACATAAATGAAGTACATATAATAGCACAACAATGTTAATAATAAGCTAATGAAGAACAGTTTCTTGCTAGCAAGTTTACGAACAAAATTTCCTTGCTTTACAAAAGATTTACAAAGTAATTTCAACGTCGTTTTGGCAAAATGAATCAGCGTAAATTCGTTGTTTTCCAATTCATCCAAGTCTTCCTTTTATAGAAAAAAAATAAATTCATTGGAGGGTAGAATAGGAATATCAAGATTTCCAATTGTCTTCTTGCAACAGTCAATGTGAGTAGTAGACAACATCGTACTAATAATATAGTCCCTGCGCCATAAAAATAGGGTAGTGAAATAAGGTGACCTTGTTCTATTTCTCACGTGAGACCTTTGATATTCTCTTTTAGCCTCTAGAGGCTTCAGAATATGTAAGAGTTAAAGCATACTTAGAAGGATCAAAACCATATCTTCAGAGTCTTAAGAACTTGTTCACCAGAGTATTTTCTTCAAAGTCTTCAGCACTTGGTCTTCAGAACCTTTTCTTCAGAATCTTCAAAACTTGTTCAACAGAACTTGTCTTTAGAATCTTCAGAACTTGTAGCAAGAGAGCTTGGAAATGTCAGAGCTTGAGAATCCTTTAGAAGCTCTACTATCATAGTCACAATTAGAAGTGATAAAAGTAACTTTCATCATAACCGTTGTTTTAGAAGAGTTCTAAGCAATGGCACATGTACTTGTATCGCTTAGTGTGTTGAGTACAAAATCTGATGACGTCACACGTAAAATCTTCAGATTCAGAACTTGTTAGCAAAATCTACCCATTAAACAAACC